GTTTCACAATTATCCTGACAATTCACATGCTCAAGCAATGCAAAAGAATACTGGACGGCTAACGTTACCCTCTGATTAACACTTAACCCATGACAGTATGACTGCTCAATAACCCTCAGTGCAATACCTATAAATATACCTTGTACATATAGAGCCGTTAAATGCATATAGACTGTGTGTGTGTATATACATATACACAGGCCTCTAAGTACTTTATTTTTATCTCTTTTCATAATGCACATTCCTTTTGCTTGTTTGCTTTCTGTTCTCTCAGCCTCGTATTATTTACTTGCCCATTGCTGCCTTGCATAAGGACATGTACATGCACATTGAGAGCCGCTGTACCAGAGTCAAATTCCTGGTGTGTCCAATGAAGCTGATGCTGAAAATTTTCTTGCTAGCAGAGGTTTGCTAACGTCCGGTATTAGTATTCAGCTATATTAGCATTCGGCTAACATTAGATAAAGTATCCCACATGGATTAAACAATATAAATTTGGACAACTGTGTTAACAGCGAAACACCTCCGCGCGGCCGAAAAACAAAACGCAACACATGAAATGTTTACTGTGATTTCTCTAATGCGATCCACGTACGTAGCACAACAGCCTTGAGCCCTCTTCATTCTCGGCCACCGTAGACTAACTTATAAAACCCAGCTACTACCTGATTGGACAATTCACTCTGCTCTGTGATTGGACTCTTCTTCTTCGTCTGTGGTTTAATAGCGGTTGGCAAACAGCTTAATATAATTTGTTTCACACGTTAAAGAACGTTTTTATGTACAAATCTTTCCTACACATGCTCACAAAAATTGTGACACTTGTTAAGATTGGTGTAATGCTTTGTGCTACCACTAAAGGGAAGCTTTACAGTGTGCTGAGGACAAGAAACAGGAAAAAGAAAAGTTACAATACATGTTATAGGCTTTTAGGTAAAACTGTGGCTCCAACCACGTTCTTCTTCTTCTTCTGTTGCTCAATGGCGGTTGGCAAACAGCTTTAGGTGCACTACCGCTGGAGTGTGGATCAGAACGGCCCCTACCTACTACTATAACAAAATAACCTCACTCAGTTCACATTATATTATCTTGCTTAACCCTGTACTCTCTAAAAACCTAATAAGTGATCTGTATCCTATATCCCCTGATCTTTGTCCAATCAGGTTGAGGTGTGATTCACACTAAACCTCAGTACTCCTACATAGAGTTGTATGTGCAATTTGCTACTTTCTGTCTGTACACAAATGTTCACAAACACGCTTGTTTTCAGTGTCTTTGTGTAACAATTTATTTACAGATTTTATTCACATGTACAAAAACATGTTTACATACAAATCTTTCCTACACATGCTCACAAAAATTGTGACCATGTACATACATTGCTATTTGTACCATTAAATTGCCATTCATTTGACTAACAGGCAGTAATGGGTCTCACTTGTTAAGATTGGTGTAATGCTGTGTGCCACCACTAAAGGGCAGCCTTACTGTGTGCTAAGGAGAAGGAATACAGTTTTTCCCTTGCTTTCTACAAAGCCCAGTTACAGAGGCAAGGGCATTGGGAAGGAGGTGACACACATGATGATGCACTACAGTGAGCATCTAATCCCATCTTTCAGAAAGTACTGAGCAAGAAGACAGAAGCTAAAACTCACTGTGTAGAAGTTGAAAATTTAATAAATATTACTTGTTTTAGATTTTATTTAGAAAATAAATGGTAGAAATAAGCCACACTTTTGCCTAAAACATGTCTTGTAATTTTTCTTTTTCCTACTGTATAGTGTCCAGATATAAAGAGATATACACAGGAAATGATTGAGATGTACAAACCACAGCACAGCCTGACTGTAGATATTTGCTCAGCCTTTGATTTTGAATCATTTTAAGATAAGCACACTGGGCATCACCTGCTATCATGATCTCCAGCTCAGCCAAGGAGAGGTCTGTTGGGTCCGTTGGGAACATGTTGAAATCTCCCACCATGCACTGCTCCTCCTCTATACTGGAATCTGCCTATCGCTGCTTATCCAAGATGATGAATGTGCACTCTGACAAAAAATAAAAAAGTCAAATTATCTGAGGGGGTCAGATGCTGCAGCTCAGGACACTTCATCCATTCATGATACCTGAAGAGTGTAAACAGGTGGATAAGACACAGGGACTACAGGTTTCTACAGCTTTAACTTATTCATGTATCCAGATGTCAAAGGACTGGAGCTGGTTCTGCTGTGCCAGTTAAAGAGACTTCAAACTGTCAAAGGATCAAAAACTTGTATTGACAGCTGGGTCAGATGTGTCACCTGTCCTAAGTTATTTCTTTCAAATGCTCCATGACAATTGAGACTGTATGATACAATCGAAAGCTCCAGAAAAGCTACTAAATGGAACTTGTGATGAGATTTCCTCAACATTATTAGTTGCAGACTTATTTACAAGTCACAACAAAACCCATCCGCCATGTTTAAACATTGATAGTAAAGAAATGACATTCAAACACTCATCACTAAATATATCAGCAGAGGAAAATAAAAGAAAAACTGATCAGGTGTTAATGTTAACATTACCTGAGTATGTGGTTTGCATTGTAAGGAACCAACACAACTTTGTGTCCCTCCAGTAGTGTTCTCGTCCATCTTCATGGTGCCAAACCAGACACAAACACCATTACTATAATATATTAATGGGACTTTCCCCACATCACTTTGCATATTTAATGGGTGTGCTCAATAAAGACATGAAAGATCATGACTGTTCATGTTTTATCACCTTATAAATATTGTTAGTTTGTGACTTTCATGACAATCAGATTTTATGGCCAATCTATGCAGAAAACCAGGAAATTGCACACAGTGCCATTACTTTTCCTTGCAACTGTATCTGTAATTATTTCTGGTTAGTGAAGTTACTCTGCTGCAAGATCCTGCTGACCTGACTTTAGTTTCATAGTGTTGACACAGCTGTCATAAAAAAACAGTTTAACATCAAGTGTCAAATACTGTCTCATTTTCATGGTAATGAATTTGTACAACAATGTCTGGTGCTTCATTAAAATCACATATTGGTGAGAGACAGGAAAAGTCACTACTGAGTCATTGCCAAAGCAGGAGGAGAGAACGGTTTTCTCACCTCCTCTTTAAATGTTCTCGCAGTATGAAAACTGAATCAGCAACGCTAAAATGTCCCACAACATAGAGAATAGAGGACCAGAATAGCAAAGGAGTTATTTGAAAAGACAACAAATAGCAACAGCACTCTAGACAGCAGCGTAGCCACAGCATGTTTTTGATATTTTTAACAGGTTTATAATTTGGTTTTAGGTATTTAAAAACAGCCCTCACCAAGAGCTTTGTAAATGAGAACTTGTAACAAAGAATTTTGTAAAATCTAACTATATTAGGCTACAGTGCACATACCTGAGTGAGTTTTAGAAAGTGTTAGGGTGATTTTTATTTTATGAACTTAAGAATGGTTTTATTTTATAACACACATAAGTTTACATACTTATATGTCACAGTTATGTTTATATAGTTATGAATATCACTCTATGTGTTTGCTTAACCACTGGTCAAATATTTGCTGTGTGAGTCACTGAAACACTAATGCAACATCATAAGTCTTGTCCACTAAATTACTGAATTTCATTAGATTTATGGCTGTAGCTAAGGGAGCTCATAGTTACGTATCATTCCTCTGGACTGGTGGACCCAAAGGAGTCTTGGTACGGTAAGGCTCCAAGTTTATTAAAATAGATTAGACGTAGATGAGAAAGCTTCAAAGGGAGAACAGTTATGCACACACACACACACGCAGGCAGAACAGTTTTACTTAAGTGAAAACAAAGTATACCTTTTCATACAAATATTGTTAACCACTAAGTTGAGGTCAGTCTTTCCTGTTTATCCTAAACAGTGGAGATCCATGTGCACATGCTAATTTTGATACGTTAATGCATAATAAATTTCATACTGTGAAATATATATCCTCTTATTAGTCTTCTCTTTTCAATATAAAACGAACACGCCTCAACAAAAGAAATGGTCAAAATACTTTGACACTGCAAAAAAACAACAAAAATAACATAGCTGTTTTACTTAAAGTTAATACCACACACAGACTGTTTTGTGAAATTGGATATAGCCAGAGGACAGTAAAATGAAATAAAACATCTTTTTTCCCATCTTTTAATCTCATGGTAAACTTTGAAAAACACTAAACACATTAATAGCATATGAGAGGGTCCACAAACATTGACTACCAAGATAATCTTTTATGTCACACAGCCCAGAACGTCTAAGTTGAATAAATGAATAAAAATCTGCAATGAAAATTATTTATAGGTATTAAATGAGATGCAGTCCTAGAACAGAAACAATAGCAAATACTTGAGGTTAAAGAGGCCAGAGTAACATGTTAGACTAAAAATAAACTGGAAAGGGAGCATCTTGAGATTGACTGTAGGGATGGCAATTCTCAAATATTATAACTGTTCATGCTCCCCAATAAGATAATTTCACAAAGGAACAAAAAAATATATCTCCCTGTAGAAGCCTGCAAGATGGCAACATTGCAGGTCCATGGGAAACTGCACAAGTGGAAAAAAAGTATAATCTCAAATAAGAAATATTTAAATCCTAAATTTGTCAGAAGAAAATACATTTTAAGATATAAAATCAAATAAAACAGCATTAACCGATCAAAAACAAAACAATAAAAAAAAAATCACACTGGAGCAAGTGGGATAACAAAAATGTTAGGACCAACTTGCAGCACTATGACCAGCTCAACAGCTAACAATTAATCTAAAGCAGGATTATTTAATAAAAGATAACATGCAGCAAAAACATGTAACATGTATTCCATAGATTTTCATTTTAGTCAAGTCAACCCAGCTCTTGGCTGTAAACCCTGGCAGCAACGGATATGTTATAGTAAAACATCTACAGCTCCCACCATATTTAACAACATGGCTATAAAGCTTAATAATTTGCTGCTAGAATATCTGACAGTTGTTTGCTTTGTCTTTTCTTAAACCCGATGTTTTTCAGGCAAACTGAAAAAGTTTTACATTTTTAAAATGCCTCCAACAAAATGGCACGACTGTGCCTTAAGTGTCACTGCTGAGGAAAAATAAGCTACCAAATATGAATCAGATCAACATACAGAGGACTTCACAACAGTCCAAAACAGTCAACAATGTACAGAAATAAAACACTACCTAGATGACTTTAAAAGGTTGAGGATAAAATTATCTGTAATGAGAAAACTAATTGTTTCAGAGCTGAAATCCCACTACAAGCTGGCCAGTTTCAGTCAAATGAGCCCTACCAGCACTGACTGACTTCAGACTAGAATTAATGAGGGAATGTTAATTGTCAACAACTATCATTGTGATAACTATGTCATATTTCTTTCCAGAGCTACCCAATGAGGTGACATCACTGACCTTGCATGAAAAAAAGATGTAGCCAATATGAATTAATTAAATGTATAGTAGTATAGCATAGTGATTGCTAATAGGATAAGAGCGGTATTTGCTCTAATCAAGAAGAGCATCTTAGGCATCTATATCCCAGCAGACACAGTGATATAGACAGCAAAGCACCTCTCCAACCCTGCCACCATAGCAGTCAGGGGTATAAGCCTACAGTATGTGTCTATGTTGAAAAATACCAATTTTCAACCTCGTAATGAGAAAAATGAAGTTCTTCATTACAACCTATGGGTAACACGACACCTGGTAATTCTTATTCACGGTAATCCTTATTTTCTAACACCAGTAAGACCAACAGGCTCAAATGCATGAAGTACATGGCTCCAGTGTTCAGTGTAACTGTGTCACTCCAGTCTCTTCTATGAGATAAAACCCTGCTAACAGCACATCTGAAAACACTAGCATACATGGGTTGACTCTTAGATAACCAGATGTAAACACTCAGGGCAGCTCTCAGTAATAGTGGCATATCTGCAGCCTGCTGCCTGGATCATTCTTTCCTGGGCTGAAGAAAGGGTAGACCGGCTCTTCAAAGCAGGTATCAAACATGTATAGTCTCCTCATTGTGACAGCATCATAGAAACTAAGACGCCCATTGTCATAGTCCAGGTACACGCCAACCCGAGGAGAGTTCCAGTAGTCATCGACCAGAATGCGGCCATCCTCTCCATTGGCATACAGCCGGTCCTGCAGACACAGGCTCCAGTATCCTGCAGCGGGAGTGAGGCAGACAAAACCCTTTCTGTTGCTGGACTCAGTGGTGACTCCCAGGTACCACACACCTTTATCCTTCACATCCACCTCCCAGTAATGCTGGCCGCTGGCGTACTGGGCTGTGGCAAGGACACCACAGAACCGAGTGAAGCGGGCTGGCAAGTCTGGCTCCTGGTTACGAACACGACCCTCCTCCACTTTGGTGTCAAAGTCTGAGATAAGCAGGTTTGGGTGTGCAGTGTCTGGATCTAAGGTAAGGTTCTGAGGCACTACAAACAGACAGAGAGAGAGAGAGAGACACTGATTAATTCACCTGGCGCTTACATTGGACTGAAGCTGCAGGTTTTGGAACACCAAATTAGCTATTAGTAGTTCATATTGCTACCTACATTGGATGTGCTGTTAGAATTTCATAAATAGCCTTCTGAAGAAATCCTAAAAACTGTTTCTCAAGCAGGTTCTGAAGCTTTCCAACTCCTACTCGGTAGACATAATGAGTTACACTATAGGGCAGCAACGTTGAGGCCCATTTGTAGTCTATATTTGTATACGTTTCGGAACACTAAGTATGCTGAAGAGTTCACTTTTGCTCTGCACTATTGAATGTACTGACAAGTATCAATGAATTACTTTGAAAATAAAGGATTTGTTAAAACCCAAGATTTTCATGGAAGTTCCGTCAGCCCCTGCATCATCTCATAATTATGAGAAAAGCTCTTCGGGTATTAGTGCATTCAAAAACTATGTGTGGTGAAAAGTAACTAAGTACTGTAAGTATTTTCATTTTTTGTTACTTCCCATTTTGACTTCACTACATTTTAGAATCAGAATCAGCTTTATTGGCCAGGTGTGACGGACGCACGAGGAATTTGACTCGGGTACATCGGCTCTCAATGTGCAAAACAGTAAAACAGCATACGGCAGTGTAATATAACAAGATAGCAATATTAACATCAACAAACAGTGCAAAACAATGCAGAAAAAGCAGTATGAACAGACAGTAAAAAATGCAGACAACAAAGGAATGTTCATTGAAATGAGATAAATAGGGATAAAAACAGAGTACGTAAAGCTAGAGACCTCTATGACTCTGTATAATCTGTACAATGTATATATATATATATATATACACACAGAGCCAAATATTGTATTTTTAACTCCACTATATAAATCAAATC